TTCTTTGCTTGCGTATCAATAATATATATTATTTAAATGGTAGTGGGTTATTTTTTCAAAATTGTCGTATATATCATATAGTTACCAACAAACAATTATACCACAAAAATGAAAGTCAGTGATACAATCTAAATTTGGAATTTATAATAAACATTTTTTCTTGCTTTCTTTTCTTTCGAATTTTGGAGCTTTTGTAGAAAAAACGTAGACGATAAATAAATTATTTAAGAAAGAATTATATTTTTGCTTTTATTTTTTTAAAGTTTAAGACAATGAATTTTAAAATGAAAAAATTAAAAAAAAATGTATTTGCGGTAAGATCGATTAATTGACGGGTTGGTTGCTTAAACCGCAACCAACCCAACCCGACTTTATAATGGTTAAAACTAACCGAACCAAATCGCTTTTTTGATTCAAACCAACCCAAATCGATCCGACTTGGTTTGGTTTGGTTTGGTCGGTTTAATCGATTTTTTGATTTTTTTTTTTCCCACCCCCTACCTATGAATTACGTGATTATGACTCTATGATGTCTGATTATGATACAACTTATATGTTATATGTTAGTTTCATTTATTTTACAATCTATTTTTTTTTTAAATAATGGCTTGATGAACAAAATTATAACTCGGAAAACATTATTTCAATTAATTTTCTCTATTGATAGCAAAGATCCGGTTCATAATTTTCTCTATTGTTTTTATTATTTTTACAAATTAATTTCCAACTTTAAGAATACGATATTCCCGTCCAATTTCCGACTGCGACCGACACCGAAGTCTCCATCGACGTCACGTGTCCAACCTCAAATGACCACTCACGATTCCCTCAGCCATATCAAAAATCGGATAAAATCGTACAAATTCCCATTCTTAGCTCCCAGATGAACATATAATTCACCACAAGATATCCCTCCCCTCCAAAAATTTAGCACTAGAATATCTCAACCACATCCACAGACCCACAATTTTCCATAATAAAAAATCACCACTATCAATCGCCATGACCATCTCTCCAGCCTTCTTTTCTTCGCTCCTCAACGTATCCACCTCCAAAATCCCAAACTCAGATACCCCTTTTGCCAAAACCAAATACCCTTCAAGAAGAAGGACACATTCGATCCATTTCCACCCCATAAGATCTCTCGCAGATTCAATTTCCACTCTAGATAATCAACCGGCTGCTGCCTCGTCATCGGCCCCTAGCAGTTCGGCTACAATTACGAACTCTGTAAGTCTTGACGATGATAGTGTTAATGATGATGAGGTGAAAAAAGCTGAGTCGATAATTGGGGCTAAGGTCAGGATTAAGGTGCCATTGAAGGTTTACCATGTGCCTAAAGTGCCCGAATACGAGTTGACGGGAAAGGTGGGTGTGGTGAAGCAGTATGTTGGGGTTCATAAGGGGAAAAAGATTTCAGCTAATTTGCCTTATAAAGTGGAGCTCATGGTGGATGAGGTTCTGGGGCGTGATGGGAAGCCACTGAAATTTTTGGCACACATGAGGGATGATGAGTTTGAATTTCTTGACTGATCTTGTGGTTCGTTTTATTTAATTTCTATTCCTTTTTCGTTGAATGTTTTGATAGTGCCACTGGATGACTTGTTGTAATAATTTTATGTACAAGTGTTATATTTACAACATTGCAGATAATTTACTGTTTTGAGGTCCTATTTTTTGGTCTACTCGATCAATTGCCTTTCAAGAAAATGTTATTACTTTGTGTGTATTATTGGATTCATGCCTCGTGCCATTGCCGAGTTAGCTATTTAATACTGTGTCTGGAGTTCTCGAAGTGAGTAGAATCAATATTAATGACAATTTTACTTGGATTTGGCTTGAGTGTGGGTAGAGAGCACAGCTCCCACCCCATGTGTGAGCGCATTGGTTTGCACTAGGCTATTTCATCAGAAATATTTCAAGGATGCTCAATTGTGTGGCTGAGGTTTGATGTGGAAATATAATTTTCCATCCTTTTGCTTTCTCAGTAAACTTTTACTCAAGTTATCGTTTGTTTGGATGTTTCTTTTGATGACGTTTTATTAACTAATACAGCAATTGATACATGATAACATTCATTAACTGCTATTGCCACAAACACTTTGTTTCGTGGAGATTGTAGTATAAACATTGAAACACAAACTTGGCATCAGTGAAAAGAAACCGAAGGATATGCAAGAAGCAATATTGTGATTGGAAGAGGGATGCCTATAGAACCTTTTGGCATTGTAATAACTAAGAAGGGTAGGCTCTCCTATGTTGCTATAGAAGCTACTTACTATTTTGTTATAAGTTAAAATTGCCAAATAAGTCACTAGGCCCTTAGCTTCTTCCCGTATCAAAGTTTGTCATAGACTGTTACATTCAAATAAACCATAATTCTTAGACTGCAGGTCAATATAATAAGCTATGATTACGGAATAAGAAATGGTAGAACGTTATGTTTCTACCCCAAGGCAAGTTGCCCATAAAGCTCCTTTTGTGATGCAAACATCTAATTGGCCATGTGATTTTGGAGGCTTGCAACTGAATTTTAAGCTAGTTCTTCACATGGACATTTTCTGTCAATCTTATTACCGCAACCCGTCCCCACCACCCAGCACACACACCCCGCACAAACAAACCACAAAAACTCCCCACCAATCCCCACTTTATTTAACTTTTTTGGTATTTGCTATCCAGTGGTAGTTCGCTGACTCTTCAATTTTACTCGTTAGATGAGTTTTTAAGTTTTTTTACCAATGAATCACTCTTTTTATCCATGACATGTATGAGCCTGAAGGATATAAACATTTGAGCAGTTGAAACTGTAAAAAATTTCTTGTTGAATTGCATCGCTTACTTTACTTATTATTATATCGTTTCAAGAGTTACGCCAATAATTTGAAATTTAACTCTTAAACTTGTTGCAATTAATTATCTTCATGAGATATTGATATGTTTTATGTCACTCTTTGAATGATGACCGTACTTTTTTTTCGATATTGTTGATAAGCTGAAGTTACACCTGCACATTTTATATTTTCTATCTTACTTTGATTGTTTATTTATTTAGAAAGCCATACAGGAAAATAGTAATGAAATATTTAACTATGGAATTATATCAATTGTAAGAGAAGATACTAAAAGATGCTCACTGAAAAGCAGTGCAACCTTTAGCAGATGTCAAACTTTTAGGCTAAATCCTCAACATGTGTGATCTCTATCAGCGGTCTTAACTTTTAGTTGCTGCAAATTGTGAACTTCCGCTACATTTCATTGACTTGACCATCAAAGCAGGAAACTTAGGATGGGAAAAGAAGTTGGAAATGCTAGGGTTTGAGATGTCAAAAGTGGCAAAGAAGTAGAAAGAGAAGAATGTGATGAGAGACTAGTTACGAGTCTGCAGTAGTCTTACCTAGAACTGGCAAGGAATGAACCTAGCAGAAGACTTTCATCATATGAAACTCCCAAAAAAACAAGAAAGAGATATATTAAATCAATAGGACCACTGTGCACTTGTGCACCAAGTGATGAAAGACTAACAAATTATAAGCGTCTTTTTCTTGCTGCTGTGAGTTCTTTTCTTGACATCATTGTATTCACTATTTTCAGCGGGGGATGAGGGGTAGCAGCAGAAAGGTATAATGCTGTAACCAGGCAGTGACTAGGATGAACTAAATACACAGACGTGTCCTCAAATAAGACACATGGACAAACTTTTTGATGCATCTGAATGTGAAATGGTGGAAAACTGGATCTATCAGAAAACTGAATTAGAATAACTGAGAAACATAAGCCTGAGAATATTACGTTTAAACTCATTAACAGAAATCCAATTCCTTAGATGTCAGTATTAGGGGCTGTATAAAAATTTGAAAAGAATGGGACCTTTGAAGAGGATAGCAGACATTATTTTGGCTATTGAATAGAGATTGATATTGACCGAGACAAAAATGATGAAGAAAGAATTGCTGTTCCATATCCACAAGAATGGTTTGTCTGTTGAATAGAGATTAATATTAACCATAACTTTGAAGTCTTAATTTCACTGTGTGCCCTGGCCTAAGTTGGATTGGCCTTCGTTTGAGGCTATTATATGTAGGACAAAAGACTTGAAGCAGGATACAAAGAATTTCACATTATTTAGCACATGGTAAGCTGAAAAGATTACATATTTACTTAGGGGGTGTTTGACACCCATTTTTGTGGAAAAATATGTTTTTGAATAGTGATTGATGGAAGAATGTGTGGTTAAAAAGTAAGGAGAATTTTTAGGTTTATGTGTAATATTATTTTATTGATAGAATGTGTGGTTGAAATGAAGAAAGAGAAAAAGAATGAGAATGAGAATGAGAAAAAATGGGTGCCAAACGGGGGCTTAATTCACCGTTACCAAAATAAAAAAAAGAAAGAAAGAAAAAGAAAAATGATACATACACAAACATATACATACAGCTTATTATGGTTGATAAACATAATAATAGTTAATCTATATATAGATATTACTAGCAGATAGAGGACGATCAATAATGCATGCACATTCTTAACGTAAACATTAAATTTTAGTTTCTTCTGCAGTTGAAAATTATGATTTTTCAGGAAATACTAAAATTTAAGTAACTAAAGAGTACTTTGCCCATCATTTTTCATCTCCGTAAGGCATTGAATGTGGAAGTGGAAACATATATTTGAACCTAGTGTATCTTCATATAGTGAGTTTGCCAAGTGAAGCTTAGATTTCATCTGATTGGTGTTCAACTCTGATTGTTGATTTGCTGAATCTTTCTCCTTTGTTATTAGTCTAGTGACTATCCTTGAAATGAAACTATATTATGTTTCTAGCAGTGAGAATTTATCCACACAGTAATGTCAAGTGTTCTGTAAATGAAGTATTCTCTAACAATTATGTGTTTTATTTGAGCAGAACGATGTAAATATTTTTAAATGAAGCATACACACACTTATTGTTCTCTGAAGCCAGTGTCTATTATTGTATTTAATTGAGGTGCCTTGACAATTTCATTGATTGGCCTACTTGATAATAATGATCTTGACTCCAACTGTGATTTTGTTTTCTGCATACCCTTCCACCATATGGCGTTTGTAATTTATTCAGTTAAATTAAAAAATAAAAATAATACATTTTTACTTTTTATCTAAGGCTGATGAGGTTAGCATGAAAATGTTTTCATTTAGTATTTCATTAAGCTGGAGAATGTTCATCTCATAAGAGGCTTTAATTTTGGGCATGATGTTGTTTCCTTTTTCAGGTTAATGGTGCTCCCCAAATTTGATCTTTCATTGTCACACTTCATGGTTTTTAACTTTTCCACTACTAGAGACACTTTGGTTTTTAGTTTTTTAACTTCTAATTTTCTTATAATGATTTCTGTGTCACACATTTTTAGTTTTAACCATATTTGATTCTTGATTGTAATTGTGGCGAGGCGTCTATTTTAATTTCTAGTTAATGGTTTCAAGTAAGCAAAATGAAACAACACTTGGGGTTAAGTTCTTAAAACAATTGTCGTCTTACTTCTCCCACATTTCGAGCATTCAACTACTGGCATTACGATACAGAATGTTAGTTTTCCTTCCACTGTGTAATGATCAAGAATTTCATTTCAAGAAGGTATTACCGATGGTCCAGTAAGAATGGTTTCCATTTGAATGTGTATGCACTGTTAGCTTTCTTTTGCAACTTGTAGCGAGTCATTGCTACAGTTTGTTGATTTGATATCTTTTGATTTTCAGTAGTACTTGGAATAACTTGCTCGTCTTCCTGAAGTTTGTGATGTCCTTTTGCAGCTTTGCTAGTTTCGGGGCTCCCTTTTCTTTACACCACCCTCGTCAGTCGTCCCCTCTTGCTTTTTGCCTCCATCTGTTGCTCCACGTCAGGAGGGTGATACCACTAGGAGGGATACGATTAAAGAGGAAATGACTGAGGGATTGAATTAAGAGCCTGTTTGAGTCCTCTTTTTTTTTTCAAAAAATGCATTTTAAAATAGTGATTTGATGGAGAATGTGTGGTTAAGAAATAAGAAAGTATTTTGGATTTGCGTGTAATATTTATTTTATTGAAGAATGTGTGGTTAAAAATAAATGAGAAAAAATGTATTTTGAAAATAATGGGGATGAAACAAGAGCTAAGTTGGATTATAGTTAATTGTTCTAATATGTTGCACCGAATTAGAATACGTAATGAGAATTCAAAAGAAAATAAAAATTGTGACAATAGTATTAATAATGTAAATTTTTTAATTATATTTGAGTTCTCTACTTATATTTTAAGGTTTGTGTGATCCTTATTTTTTTTAAATACACTTTTTTCTCTCTTATTTTCAACCACACATTATTCAATAAAATAATATTACACCAATTTCAATAACTTTACCTTCATTTTTAATCACATATTTTTCATCAATTTACTCTTCCAAAATACAATCTACACCAAAAATTGGTCTCAAACATGCCCTTAAATTATTACATCTAAATGTTTTTTTTTTTATTATACTAATAAGCTAGTTTTTGTCTCACACGTGATGTTTTTTTAACTTATAAGTGCACTTTTTAGTTTCAAGTAATTTTTTTTAGTTATAAGAGATTTTTCTGCTAACAACTAATTTCTCTAATTTATATAAGTGAATATTTACTCATAGTTAATTTATTACATGTGCAAATTCTTTGTTTTAAGGAACTTTGTAATTGCATCTCCTTCTAATTTTGCATTTTCTATATTTTAGTAGGTGGCAATTTGTTTGTATTTCTATGCGCGAATCCTAATTTCGATAAGTTGAAACTCTATCATATATTTTGCAATGGTATGTCGCGATTTTATCATATTTGCATGCACATGTTTTTAGTTAAAAAGGATATAATTATGCACCAAGTTAGAAAATAAATGTTGCATGCAAACAATTGCATAGGATAAGATATGTTTTTAACGATGGTTGTATTTTGTAAACTATACAAGTTAAGCATTGTTGGTACTCTATAGAATATCACTTATGTGAGTGCGATTTTGACTGATTTTATGAGAATTTTTTAAACGAATTCTCTAACGCACTTGCATAACCTAAAAATGTTCAATGTTGAAATAATGAACACAATAGAGATATAAGAGAAAGTATGTTTAATCTATTGTCTAAGCTTGTAATATCGATCGACAATTCATAATGCTGCTTTCACTAATTAATCAGTGAGTTCGATAAATTTTTAATAAGAAAGATTCAAAGTGAAATCTACTTATCTTGATGCGTTATCTTTCAGTTATTACTCTTTATCGTCTTCCTTGTTTTGAGTCGACTTCTTCCATTTATGTGAGTAATTGTTTAAATGTATTGATATGACGATAAATTTGTGAACAAGTCTCCAATAGGTACTATGATTGGATGTGACTCTTCAATTGCAATAGATCATAATAAAGAGACATTTCATTTAGATATGGTGCTATTTGGATCACTGGTCATCTTCCAATTTGAAATTTGTGTGATCTAATGTTAAAATAATTTTTTTGCCAAAAGATGCTACCATTAAGAAAAGACACAAAGAAATCTATATATATGACCTGCATAATTCTATTTTTCCCACTTTAAATCAATTTTAAATAATTGATTTCTAAGAAAAGACACAAAGAAATCTATATATATGACCTTCAAAATTCTATTTTTCCCACTTTAAATCAATTTTAAATAATTGATTTCTAAGAAAAGACACAAAGAAATCTATATATTTGACCTTCATAATTCTATTTTTCCCACTTTAAATCATTTTTTTATCGAATTCTGTCAAAATAATTTTAAAACTATTTTTAAGTTTCGTGTTCGACATTTTAGTATGATCTAGAATAGTACAATAATCTTTGTTTCACTCAACAAAATTACTATTGTGCTTTACTGATTTTTTTCAAAAAACGTTCTATCTTAGGAGATAAACGTTCATTTTATCCTCTTAGTATCAATGCAAGGGACCAAATTTGTCTTAAGGGAACTTGCAATCGCATACATCGCTTCATTCCATCTTTTTCTAATTTTTACATTTTTTCAAATGTCAGTAAGCAATCGTTTGGGCATTAATCATGCATGTATTTTGATTTCGATAAGTCAAAACTCTTTATTTGTTTGCACATATTTTTGAGTAACGAATATAATTTATCGCGACTAGATGTAATTTTTAAAATTAGAGGGTGCATATTAAAGAGTCAGTGATTTTTTGAAATGGGAGTGACCACACAAATATTTGTATAACAAATATTCATGAACCTTTGTATAGGGTGAAATAGTACAATCTAATGGATAAAATGAATTGTGCCAAAAGATGTAACCATCGGGAAAATACATTGAAATCTGTAAATTGGACCATCCTAATTCCATTTTTTCCATTCTATATGAATTCAATTAAATTGATTTCTAATCCGTTCAATCTTCAAATTATGTCAAAATTATTTTAAAATTATGTTATGACTTACGAGTTTTAATGTTTGATAATTTAATATTCAATATCTATCGGTTTAGAAGAGTAAGATCAAAGTTGATTTATCCGATAAAATTAATATTGTGTTACATTAATTTTGAAAAGAAATGTTGTATCTTAGGATATAAATGTTCATTTGATCATGTTAGTACCAATGTACGAAAAGAAATCCTTCTTAAGGAGATTTGCAATAACATATTTTGATTCATTTTATTTCCTTCTAATTTTTGCATTTTCTACAAGTCGCAATTTGTTCATAAGTCAAAACTCTATCTACTATTTTACAACAATAAATCGTGATTTTATAAAATGCATATAATTATACACCATTTTTAGCTCACCAGTTTTCAGAGCTTCATTGCATGTCAAATTTCGAAAATAAAATTTCTACCAAAAGAAGTGACAACACAATATTCCAACACAATAAATCGTGATTTTATAAAATGCACATATAGCATGATTTTCACCCTAATTTCCCTCCCAAAATCGACTTCCATTCTCCTGTAGTGTTTCACGCAAAAAAGAAATGGTTTTTGGGAGTTTTATTGTCAAATTTGCGATTTAAGTCCTCAAAGTTCAAGCTTCAACTATTTTGGTTCATTAAGTTCCAATTAAAATGAAAAAAAGGTCTTTCAGTGACCATTACTCAAATCGGATGATACTTCAGTGATCGTTAGTGCACGTTTTAAACTTCAATGACCGTTTTATGATTTTGATGTAATTTCAGTGATCATTTGTGAAATTAACCCGAATATAAATACATAACGGCGACTTATACAAAGAGAAAAAGTCAGAATAACATTTTTTAAGAAATAAAAAAATCTAAAAAAAAAGTACACCACACTTAACTATGGACGATCCACGGTTTTGAGACCCGCATATTCGAATAATTGACTTCGGTGTAACAAAAATCTATAGCCTAAGCCTACTTATTCTACAGAGGCCATATTTGGTTAAGCTTAAAAATATAACTTATAAGTAAGTTTAATTATAAGTATTAATAAGTACCACAATGGCATAATAGACAATTCTATTAGTTAGTTAATGTCGAAAATAAGTTACTATCAAAATAAAACTTATAAGTAAAAAAATAAATTTATGAAAACAAATACGAGAATACAGGATTACTTTTACGTAATATTGAGTAACTTTTAGTGTTGCCAAACACGTCGTTGATGGAGAACACCATGGCCAATTTTCATATCCAATTCTTCATCACCATTATAAATGCGCCATAACCTGTTAAGGAGAAAAGGAGTTGGTCGAGTCGTCGTCTTCTTTGTTCTTTTCACTTCTGTACATTACATAAATATATCCCTACAGATTCGTAAAATAGAAAAAGAAAAGAAAAGGAAAAATCTTGATTCTCCCAAAAAACAAGAAACCCATCAACGTTTCAGATTGAATCAAAAAGGTATTTTCTTCATATATATATATATATATGAACACGTAGCGTATGTATACGTATGATTTCTTTTCCGGGTTTTGATTATAGGGTACTATTCAAGGGAATTGGCTGGGTTCAAGATGATTCTGCTTGGACGAATTTAAGATTCCATTTATTTAATTTTGGGTTTTTGGTTTATAAATATTTTTTATTTAGCTTCTTTATCGTTTAGGGCTTTTGGGTTTGTAGAATTCTTGATTGCAGCCCTAAATATGCAGAATGGAGAAGTTTGGTTAATTTCATTTTCTTAAGTTGGATTCTCATATAGCGTGTCAATTTTCTTACATTGATCAAGATTGAATTGTGCTCAAGAAATGCATCCTCATTGTTGAACACATAAGAAGATCAGGGGAATTGTTCATCGCAGGAAGCAGATTTCCAAATATCATGGACACTGTTCATAATTTCAGAATGCCAGGCCTAGGTAGAAAATTACGTGATTGACTTTTGGATTGGTTTTCTACTTTTTTTTTTGCTGTTGCTCACTAGACCTTGAAACCAGAATCAAATTCTTATAAATCACTATACCCCCATTTATTTATTACTGTATGAAAATCATGAGCAATATGCACCTGATAGTTTTAGATTGCCGGTAGCACTGATAGTATCACCTCTTTCTTTTGTCTGCCCATCTCCACATCTTTGTGCGTTTATTGATGTTGTTTAACCTTTGTGCCAAAGCAGGGACATTTGCTTCTATCAGTTGGAATTCAGTTGAAAAGATCATCACCAAGCTATAGCTAGGCAGATTGTGTTTAGCTGATGACTCTGCAACTGGATAAGGTTAGGTAGAAACATTGGGATTCTGTGCCGTTGCTGCAACCAGATATTTTAAATCCTCTGTTAATTATCTGGTCGCATAATAATCTGACTGCATACATATGTTGAAGATGGGTTTAAGATTTAAACAGGTCCTGATCGTTTTTCTCTTTATAGCAATATTTAATGATGATGTTAAAGCAGAACAGGAAAATGAGACTTTACAAAAGCTAAGAACTGCTCCCCGAAGGAATGCAGGGAATGGTGTGATAGATGGGTCAGGTATAGAGCATGTTTTGAGTTCTGACGGGACTAGTAACGAAATGGGTGATGAGCGGAAGGGTGGGAACAATAGAGTTTCAGTGTCCACGGTTGCATTGTTCACACTGGCGATGGCTGCAGCTACTGGTTTAGGTGCCATACCATTCTTCTTTGTGGAGCTCGATTCTCAGTGGGCTGGTATATGCAATGGGATGGCTGCAGGGGTAATGTTGGCAGCCAGCTTTGACCTTATACAGGAAGGACAGAGCCATGGCAGTGGTAGTTGGGTTGTGTTCGGTATTTTGGCAGGTGGCATCTTCATTTGGCTTTGTAAGAAGGTGAAGCCCATAAACCTTCAAGTCATCTACATTGAAATTCAGTTGCTAATTGCTAGTTAGTATTTGCATATGCTTTGCTTTTTACAAATTAACATCTTATATTCAAATTATGATGTCATTTTCTTGTTATTGTTTTTCTTTTGATATGCTAATTTCTATTATATCTGCCAGCAGTTTTTTGTTGCTATTTTACTGTATTTTTTAAATTTCTAATTTGAGATTATAAAATTAAAGCTATCACAACTCTCTTGAAATGGATATATGTTTACTATATGTAGTGCAATCTAATAGGTCACAGTTGTTTTTTGGGTCTCCTTCAAACTTGAATTATCAGAGATGTGGAAATTGTTTCACTGGCTGAACAGGAATATGCGTTCCATTGATTCTATAAGCATATTCCGTTAACTGTTTAATTTGGTCGAGTAGCTTTAGTTTTAAAACATAATTTGTTACTAAATGGTTTTTTGTATTTTTGACTAAAAAACTTCAACATAGATTCAATTATAACGTCATAAGTTGGATTCAATTACAAAAATCTAAAATTTTCTAACTACTCATTGGACACTTCATAGAACTTTGGACTATTATAGTTCTTCACTTTGTGTGGATTTATAGGTAAAGGGTGGGGTTTGGAACGTGTTTGGTCAAATCTAGCAAGTGTACGGGATCGTTGACAAATATTAGTTTTTAGGATTAAGAATATCGTTCTCATGAGGAATACACTTTAACTTGAATTATATTGATCCGAATCAAAGTCGAATATAACCAAATCAAATGAATAAAGTGGTGTTTGTTATTTTTTTCTATTAATTTCTATTCTAATTCCTATCTAATTGCACATCAAAATTTTATATGAGAAGAGTGAGTTAAGATTTTGACTCCAACCATTGTTCTTCCTTTTCAATTCTCAACCTATATTCTTAGTTTAATTTATTTATAAATTGACAACTAATAATCCAATTTTATTCAGCTATCTCTCTCGAGGTAAGTTAAACATATTTATAAACGCGACCCGAAATATCCATATTTAGAATTCAAAATACTTAGAAATGCATTCAATTGTACGACTACCTATTTTGAATGCATGTAATAAACTATTATTGTTGACGTTTATTGAGCATACTTATGATGAGTTACAACCAAAGATATGAATATTCATTAGCCTAAAATAAAATTGCAAGAAGAAGAAGTTGAATCGATTTCGCTTCCTTGAAGTCCTCTAAATGAGCCTTCAATTGATTTCAGATTATTTTCTTGCTTTGATATTCAATTCCGAGCTTGAATCTTCAAACTCTTGATGTTAATTGCCTTGAATCTCTTCGTAACCTTGTTCTCCACATTCTTGAATGAATAATCCCGAAATTAGAGGCTCAAATTAGGTTAAATCATTGGTCAACTTGCTTTCCAGAACTTAGATGAAACTAGAGAAGAAACAAAATTTTCGTCGAATTTTTTACCATGCAGTTGCATGGAACATCATGCTGCTATCACATGGTAACATGATTTTGCTCCCTGCTTCTTCAAACATTACTCTCCTACTTGATCTTCCAATTTGTGTCAAGTTGACCCCCATTCTCTAAAATATGCACGAAAAACATCATTTTAGCTCGGTTTTCATTCATTTTCTTCAAAAGCTTGTCTAACATTGAGTTTTATCTATGCAACCAATATTTACATGAGATTAAACAATAATTCCCTAAAAGCAATCCCAAATATCCATATTTAACAGCCTAAATAAATGTATAAAATACCCTTATCAGAATGGATATTTCGAATATTATTTGTTCAATATTTAAGTACGCACCTATATGGATTATTACTAATTAATATTGTTTACTTGCCAGACATCTTATGCCAACCAATTGAACCAATACGACTACACCAATGCAATTACGTAGCACCATACAAGATGCTTTAGATTACTCCATCACAAGCCTACCTTGTTTAACGTAGCAAATTTAGTGGAATTCTCTACGTGTCTTATCCTTGATCATGAAATGGTTTCATTCTATGTTCTGGAAAGGCATTTCCATTTCTTCATTTTTTTCCTTTTTATTGACTCACTTGCAAAGTGTATAAATAAGCAAAGGTTGATAATTACATTTCTGTTTGAAGTATATGGATAATTATCTGCTAAATCTGGACAAGAAAAGATTTATTTTGTTGTACATTAGCCTACAGCCGTCATTATTGATTTCAAATAGATAAATAGATCACAGAAAAGAAGAAAGAAATCCCATTTTTTGTTTCATGAGATGGATAAAAAAACTGATGTAAGGTACCTGAAATAATTAAGAATTAAACTTAATCACTTCTCTTGTATACTATCAATTGATATTTGGAAGTCAGAATTTTTTTTATTGGGATTAACGTTCACCTTTATAACTTGACGATGCTCAGCTCCTTGAGCAATACGGCGAAGTGAGCATGTTGGACATAAAAGGAGCAGAAGCAACTAAAGTCATTCTTGTCATTGGAATTATGACCCTTCATTCTTTTGGGGAGGGCTCTGGTGTTGGAGTATCCTTTGCTGGATCTAAGGGTTTATCTCAGGGGATATTGATAACTTTGGCCATTGCTGTGCACAATATACCTGAGGGCTTGGCTGTTAGTATGGTGCTTGCATCAAGAGGGGTCTCTCCACAGAATGCTATGTTATGGAGTGTGATTACATCACTGCCACAGGTAATTTGTTTTGCTTATGGCAGAATAAATGCTTACCAAATTGCACGATACAGTAAAACTTGCTAAAATGTAACAGTTTAGATCATGCCTACAAAGTAGGTTTTCCCCAAGTAGTGACAGAGTACATAATGCTTTAAACACTGTTACCTCGAAATATACAAAATGAAATTGTGTATACTACAAAGATCTTTCTATTAATCAAGAGACAATAAATTATGGTGTAAAATATGATCAGGAAGCGTATTATTAAACTTATTTTATGCATATGTAGCTATGATCACTTCATTAGCGGAAAAGAGAACTGCTCTTGCCATAAGAAACATGAAACCAATCCAGAAGTGTGAAGAAAAACCAATTTTACCCAAACTTTGAAGACTCTGCCAAAATAATGCAAGTCAGAAAACTTATGAATAGTGCAAGTTGGTATGTGATTTGAATGGTTGGCTTGTGAAATTGAGAAAGCGTTGCAAATGCATCATCCATTACTAATGAGCGGGTTATAATTGATTTTTTGACCTCTGAATTAGACTACATTGCAATTTACCCGGTAAGACTGTTAAATTAGCGCTTGATAGTATAGTAAATGTACCTAATGAGAGAGCATAAAAGACATAAGCATTTGATTTAGCTGATTGGTCTGAAAACATATCCAAGTTCTTTTTGTTTCCCTTGTTATCTTTATATCTTATGAATGTTTTAAGTTGATAACTTGGCATTTGATTTATTTTCTTGATGCAGCCTATTGTAGCAGTGCCATCATTTATATTTGCTGATGCATTCAACAAGTTCTTGCCATTTGCTACGGGATTTGCTGCTGGGTGCATGATTTGGATGGTTATTGCAGAGGTCCTTCCAGATGGATTCAAGGTAACTTGCTAAGTTCTCCCCTGTATTGGAAGAATAACCTCAAAAGTCAAAACCACAATGGCTATTAACCAAATGAGTTAGGTTCCGTTTGAAACCCTTTTTTTCCCAAGATTTCTCATTTTTCTATAGTGAAGGCTGACAACAACCGAAAATCTGTCAGAATGCCATAATCCCATATTCCCATTTGAAATTTCCTTCCGATTTTGCCCTCAACCAATAATTGTAATTTTCCACAAATACCCTCACCTTTTTCAACCTAACTCTTCCACCCAACACAAAAATATGGGAAGGGCAATATTGGAATCAAAATGGAAATTGGATTCAGAATGTCAGTTTGCAAGTGGGAAGGAAACATCCTCTGACGGAAATTGATAGAATTAGTACATGGGTCCCACGAAATTTGAAAAAAAAACTGTAGAAGAATGAGAAATCTTGCAAAAAAAAGGGTTTCAAACACAGGCTTAATAAACAAAAATGAAAGTTAAGCAAAGTAGAACCCAATTAAAAGCTTACATTGTCCCCCTTTTCAAACTTTGTGAGTTTAGGTGTTCATGTTACTTGTTTTATGCATGCAGTTTTGATATTCTAAATCTGGTTATTTAAGATATTGTTAATTGTATTAAGCTTGCAAGCTCTCCACCTTAGTGGAGTTCTCATCATCAACTTCCAATCCTAACTACTTATGGATAAGTTGTCGTTATTTTCTCTGTGGGCTAAAGCTGTAGGTTATTGTCTAGTTTGACTTCATGGTTTTAGTGCAGCTGAGGAGATATTTTCTATAACTTTCCTTCCATAATGTTCTACTTGTGCATGAGGCTATACCATCATCCATACATATCTATTTTAGTAGGGAAAGAAAGTCACCTTTCCATTTAAGTCTTATCTTAAACCACATAAAAAAGGGGGAAAAAATATTTACAGCTCCCCCCTCTTGTTAATACACGTTGGAATTACATCACTATTTCAAGGGAATGAATTGGTATTCTGGGAAAGTAAACGAACTATATTGTTTGTTCATGTAAGTACAGTTGACATGAAGATGAAAACCGTGAATGTACAACTTTAGGCGATTTCACATTTTAGTAGAAGAATGAGGTTCACAGTGCCACAGTTTCATTACCTGAATTCGGAATTATAGACATTTCATGTGCAGAGGCAATGTCAAGAGCTATTATTTTATCTATGGATATCGATATAGTTTTCATTTCTTTTTTCCATCTTTATGGATATCACTTTTAATTTTGCCGGCTTGAAATAACCATATTAGTTAATTTCCATAGCTGTCATGAGTAGAGTAGGTCGACTGTCAACCTGAAATTGGTAGATATGAACAATTGCATTTTCAGTTCTATGATTGCAATGCTTGGATATTTCCTTGCTTGGTGCCCATAGATAGAAAGACTCTCCAGTTACCAAGTGTTTAAAGCTGAATGGCACGTTTAACTTGAGGGATCTGATTATTACTCATTGATATAGTTTCTGATTCTAACACTAAAAATATTGCTCAAATATTTTTACTGGGTTTTAATTAAATAAAGTTAATGTATTTTGATTTGTAGGAATCTTCTCCATCGCATGTTGCATCAGCGGCTACACTTTCCGTGGCATTTATGATAGCTCTGAGCTCTTTGTTTCAGCATTTCAGCCACAACTACAAGTACTCTCTCTCTCTCTCTCTCTCTCCCTCCGCCCGCGCGCGCGTGTGCATCCTCTTTCATTCTTACTGGAACTCCAAATTGACTCATTCAGTATCTATTGTCATATCATGTGCTAGTCCATGATACTTTCAATTGTTGACTTCTAGTAGCAACACTAGGATGACTTGCCTACCGTAACCCCATTCCGTTATTCTTTTAGCTTTGGCATAATAGAGGAAGAAATCTAAAACATCACCAACTTATCTCAAACTATGGCTCTGAAAGTTGTTGCAAGAGCAGAAATTCTTGAAAAATGGAGGAATATATTGTAAAGGGTTATTTCACATTTTTAAAATTTTCACAGTACAGGTAAATAATGTTGAAAAAATTGAGAATTATAAAAATTCCTGCTCGTAGGTCCAGTTCATTGCAATTATTTAGCATGAAGTTCTCAGGAAAAATGAGATCTTCAACTTCTTAGCACTGAAACTGTGACAAAACTGCATTTGGTCCTATTCTTTTAGAAGGGAAGGAAATAATTATGACTGTAATGAAGTAAGTAAAAGGACACATTTACTGAGGGGGATGCTGGATTATTCATCCCTTGCAAAGACCTGTCATTCAGCTTACAAAGATTTGTCATTCAGCTTAGTGCCTTACATTTCACTAAATTCTGTTGCATAAAACGTTCTGAACATGATTGCTCAAATTTGAAAGTCAGTATGAAACGCAGCTTTTCTGTTTTATACTAAAATTACTTTACATTGCAGTCCAGAGGACGCATCTGGCTTCTTTGTGTCACTACTTTTTGGTCTGGGACCATTACTGGGCGGAAGTGCTCTTGTTGCATTAGCTTTTGCTTTCCATCTTCAGCATGCCTTCCTCACTGGTGTGGCCTCTGGCATTGCCTTTGTTCTTGGTGCCTGGAGACCTCTGCAACTACTACTGTCTGCAAAGATGGGCCTTTTCCCCATCCTGATCCTTCTTGGACTGGGATCTGGATTCTTCCACATATCGACTTCCAGCGCTACGAAGCTTGGAACTCGAAAGAGGACTTCAGCAAATACTTTATCTGCTGTCACTGGCTACTCAGTTAGTGCACTCACTCTCTACTCAATCTTATCTTGTGTGGCAGTTGCCCTTCATGCTCTAGCTGAGGGACTTGCATTAGGAGTCGCTGCACCTAAAGCCTATGGGCTTGGACGCCACATTGTCCTTCCTGTCTCCCTCCATGGGTTTCCTCGGGGTGCTGCTGTAGCTAGCTGCATATTTGGTGCAACTGACAGTTGGCACGGGTCCCTTTTATCTGCTGCACTCATTGGGTTCGTGGGCCCATTATCTGCAATTGGAGCGATTTTAGCCGGAATTGACTACAGCGGTCTTGACCATGTGATGGTCTTTGCATGTGGGGGACTTTTCCCGTGTTTTGGAAGTATAATCAGGAGAGCAGTAAAGTTAGAAAAAAGGAAGAGCATTTTTGGGCTTGTCATCGGCTTAGTTTTTGCTTTTTTGTGTCTGACTTGCACTAAGTTAGTATGTTTGCATACACCATATTGCAACTCCGCTCCAGAGGCTGTTAGATGATAATACCATATGCTCGAGCTGTCCTATACATCTCCGAGATGCAATTACACGTGCGAAAAGGAATTTCTGGGCTATGCATTCGGTGAAATCGGACGACGGTTGGACACAGCAGATTCTAGTGGTGATTAGGATGAGTGAAAGCATATTGACT